CTTGAAAAATAAGTTATAATATAATTGAGTGGTTTTATCATTAATGATATCAAGATTTTTGTGATAAAATCCGCACATATAACGTGCATTGTATGTAGTAATATGCAATTTGAAGGACAATATCATAGTGGTTATTAAGGGCATTTTAACTTATCTCTATGGAATTTTGACAGCATGTGTGGAGTTTATTTAGGTACCAAAAATATCAGCGTAATCCGACAAGTAGGACTTAGAAATATGAACATATTATAACAAAATTCTTACAGTTCCACTATTTCGACAACTCCTAAAGTATTGTCAACAATCTAGGAAGTGGTGGATTACTAATGATTAGAGCCTTCATCTTCAACTCCCCATGTCCCGAGTTCAAACTTTTTTCTCATTCCAAGAGTGGGAGTTAAGTATGTTGAGATGAACCCTTCTAATGAAAATTTAAAATTACCTCTTGAAACCGCTATCCTAATATAATAGGAGCGTAAATTAATCCATGTTTCATGTGCATTTAACATTGTTTACGATTTTTCATATACACTAAATCTGATATTTAGCTGCATGAATCATTTTTGAATTTCTATGTGGTTAATGTAACAATTAAACTTTAATTGATTGTAACAAAAAATATACCTATTAACCTTAGTTTTTTTCAACACTTAAGGATATAAATAAAAGAATTTTAACGAAAAGTTTCCGGTACAGTTTAACGAAAAACCACATTTTTACATTAAAATATCAATCCTGGTACTATTCGTTTTACCTTTTATTTTGTTCTTATCGTTAAAACTCAAAGTTTTTAAGTCTTTTTCATTAGTTTTCCTTATAAAAATGCTACTTAGGTAAAAACTATTAAAATTTCTTATTTAATTTTTTGCACTTAAAGAAAATATATTTTTATCATTTGCAAGAAGTTTAATGAAGAGTGGCAATAAGCTGGCTAGATAAAGTGGAAGAGGATCCTCTCCTGAGCTCAGGATAAGGATCATCTTGACCACGAAATGCGGACTATTCAATTTTAATCTAACAGCTCTAAACAGAAAGTCCTCTAAAAAGTTATAATAATTTCATCCGTTGAATTAAAATTAAACGGTCTAGATTTCGTGGTAAGAATGATCTTCATCCTATGCTCAGGAGAGGATCCTCTTCTTGATAAAGCTACCCTTCACACGTAGGAAAGCAAGTCTTGGTCTAAAAGGCTCCATTTTTGTGGCGCAAGAGGAAGTCCACTCCTCAATGCAATAATTTCCCGGACAACTGGACAATAGGCAATTATTGTGTTAGTGAATAGTAACAGTTTGCGTGTATTTTTATATAAAAGTTTTAACGAAAAATATGTAGTACTGTTCATTTTGATGAAAAATTATATTTTTACACTAAAAAAGTCAAACTTGGTACTATTCATTTTACCCTTTATTTTGTCTTTATCATTAAAAGTCAAAGTTTTCAAGCTTTTTTCATTAATTTTCTTTTTTTACATCGTAATTGAATTGTTTAGGCAATTGTTATTAAAAATTAATTTTTTTTAAATTAATAAAAAAATAATATTACGTTTAATTTCGGATAAGATTTTCAACTAATCGCGTCATTCCACGTGTCATCATTCGAAATTATAATTTTTGTAGATAGATTTTAGATCATATTTTTAACTAATATGTAGTGTCACGTGTCGGTATGAAATTTGGAAATGTTGAGATGTGATGTAAAGTGGAAGGGGATGGTTGGGTATTTCTAGGAAATTGCTTTTTTTTCTTTTCTGTATTTTTAATGTTTTAAAATTTTATCTAACTGAATTAATATGAACCATTAGATTAATATCTTTTTGCAATTTAACAACCCAGATTGTGCCAGGTGGGCACAACGACTATATCTTTTTCATTTTTTTTTAATTCTTAACCCTAAAAATGTCACATATTTTTTCTTTAAATGTACACTAAAGAGGATGCGAAACCCCAAAAATATCGGCTAGATTTGGACCGTTGCTGCTCTGCGGGACCCATCACACTTTATTTGTCTCCTCATATTTTTTTCTTACCATTGAAAGGCACGGTCCAGATTTTTTACCTCTGAAAATCCAACGACTATAAAAGGGCCATGCCGCCTACCCGTCAATTGCACTAAATGTGCTGCACTGCGGGACCCACCACACTTTTTTGTCCCTTAACGTGCCTCTCACATGCGGTGTAATCCACGAGCCTAACGCGCAAAAAATAAAAAAATAAAAAAAGAAGGAAAAAAAAATTCACATGCCCAATCCTCTTTAATTTTTTCAGAACATTATCAAATTATTGTTGGAGACGAAAAAAAAAAAGCATGAATTATATGTAAAAAATATTTTGGAGGGTTAAACATAAGACCTGTTTGGAAGTACTTTTAAAATGAAAGAGCTTTTAGAGAAAATATTTTTGGATAAAAAAAACTCTTGGAAGTATAAGATTGTAACCAATAAATTGTTAGGAAAACTAATAAAAAAAGCTTGAAGACTTTGAGTTTTAATGATAAGGACAAAATAAAAAGGGCTTAAAAAGTGAATAGTACCAGGATTGACTTTTTAGTGTAAAAATGTAATTTTTCGTTAAATTGAACAGTACCGTGACCTTTTCGTTAAAACTCCCTAAATTGTTTGCTAATATGATATTTTATTTAATTGATACTAAGTTCTAGTTGTATTTGGACTTGATAATGTTCTGAAAAATTTAATCTTTTGGTCGAATTATCGTGTTAGATGTTTGGATGTTTAGAAAATTAAAACTCTTGAAATGTGGGGACTTTTTTTATTTATATGTTAGAATATTCTTAAATCATCATTCAGTATTACGGTCTGATGGTATTCTTCTTTACTTGAAAGTGAGAGACCTTAGGTTCGAATCTTGTGAATGGCAAATTCTATACCAAATTAGGTTGTCCATTGTATGACTTAGCCGAATCCCCTCTCCTTAGTGTAAAAATATCGATGTTTTTAAAAAAAAAAGAATATTCTTAAAGCGATTAAACCAAAGCGATTAACAATAATTTGGTATGGTAATATTTCAATGATGGCATTCGTCAACACCAAATCAAATTGAACAGCTAAATGTTTGTTAATTCGATTGTATTTTTTATATTAAACAAACTCAAATTGAACCGCGCTCATCCTAATTAAAAAGAGAACTTTAACGAAAAGTTCCCGGCCAGTACAATTTAATTTGACGAAAAACTATATTTTTACATTAAAAAATCAATTCTGATACTATTTACTTTATTTTTTTTTATCCTTATCAATAAAACTTAAAATTTTTTAATTATTTTCATTAATTTTCTTAATTAAAAATGACCTAATTATATGGGATGGCACGAGTAGGTCAGCTGTCCTTTTTTTGGATAACAGAACACATGGAAGTCAGGATCCTCCATCAATATGTCTAATTTTTCATTTCCTTTATATATTACTAGTGGACAGCAATAAATATAAAACAAAATAAAATATATTTTTCTGGTTTCAATACAGTACATCTTTCTGATTTTCCAAAGATTCTGTTCCTCTTATTTTTGTTTTTTTGTTTCTGGAAACTTTCCTCTTATTTTTGTTTATAAAAGATGGGTGGGTTTGGTTTGGTTTCTAACTTGCAAGAATCTATCTGAAACAAAACATGGTAGCTTTGATACCCCAAGAAAACATGGTTGCTGCTTTGGTATCTCGCACTGGAAGGCATATGCAGCGTTACAGAAAAGGTCATCGCCAAGTTGTAGGGTTAGTCTCCCTCTCTCAACTTGTATATCTGCCGCATTACTTAATAGTGGAGGGGCATCTTCTTCTTCAACCCTTTGTGTCCCGAGTTTAAACCCTCCTTCTTTTGCTTAGTATAACTTAAAATAGTAATATCGCTTGTATTAACAAAGAAAAATTATGCTTTTGGTTACTGATGGAGATATTGCCCTTTGTACTGTTTGTGCAGATGTATTCCGTATAGATATAAAGCTTCAAAGCAAACTCCCTTAAAGAATGATGCACAAGAACTTGAAGTTCTTGTCATTAGCTCGCAGAAGGGAAAGGGGATGCTCTTTCCAAAGGTACCCTATTCTTCTTCTCTATCAAATTAATGGTGATTTGTTGCAGTAATTAGTTCAGTTTAAATCATACAAAATTTTCCATTAATCCCAACAGGGAGGATGGGAACTAGACGAATCCAAGGAAGGGGCAGCGGAACGAGAGACGCTAGAGGAAGCAGGAGTACGGGGACTCGTTGAGGTTAGCGATGATCTTCTCTGTTATTTAGTTAAGAGTAATGCTATTTGTACCGTATTTACTCACTACCTTGCTAATCACCTCTTCTACGATAGAGGCGGATCCTATTAGTGTATGTGGGACCCGCACATATTAGAGAGGTGATCAGCAATGTGGTCAGTAAATGTGGTTCAAGTAGCAATACTCGTCTTTAGTTGATTAGCTAGCTTGTTGCAATTGATTTAGGAAATTCCATAATTTTGATGTTCTTGTTATTTTTTTTGCAGCGTGAATTGGGTAAATGGATTTTCAAGAGCAAAAGCCATGATTCTCAATACGAAGGCTACATGTTCCCTTTACTTGTCAGGAGCAGTTGGATTTCTGGCCAGAGAAGAACCTCAGGCAAAGAGTTTGGGTATGTTTTTTTTGATGTGCATGTTTAATTTGACCAATTATTTTATCCAATTAATGTAATATAATTGCTGACTTAATTCGGAAATAATTGCGAAAAATAGATGAGTGTTGAAGAAGCAAGTGAAGTTTGTCAGCATTGGTGGATGAAAGAAGCCTTGGACAGATTAGTAAGTCGACTAACAACTCAGCAACAAAAGGATCAAGGCCCTGTTCTTAAATCTAGGAAGGAAAATCTGATCGCATGTTTATAGACAAGTGCTTTCGGAGAAGTGCTTATGGAGATATCAGTTTTGCTTTTTCATCTTCGACAAAAAGCATTTAGGTAGAGTACTCTCCCATGGGATTCAAACAAGCAAGAAAAAAGCCACAACTGAAAAGCATTTGCTTCTTGTTTTTGTTTTGCTGGAATTCTAATTCCAGAAAATTTTGTATCAATCATGTTGGTTGAAGCTAAAAAATGCGAGCAAGATTGTTTCAAATAATAAAGACGTTTCGTTTGTCGCAACTTCGTTTGCTGTTCGGCTAATCAATGACTTTCGAGCTTGAATTATGTAAAGGGAATGCAAAAGGAAATGGAAAAAATGGGAACTCTTTCATCAAATGAATCGCCTGTAATTGCTCGTAATTTCACTTTTGTCTTTGTACTAAGTTGAAATCGAAACAGAGCTACAAGAACAAAACTGTTTAAGAAACTACATAGTCGAAGAACATTCAAGTTAATATAATCAGTCCTACGAGAACAATTTTTCTCCCTTCATCTCAATGTCGTCCTCTCAGCAGTTTCTTTCGCTTTCTCTGCTGATCTCTCAAACCTGAAAGGAATGCCAATGTCACTACAAACACAGTCCTAACAGAAACTATAGACGCCAAACCAACCCCTTATCCCCAGAACACACACGCAAAGGATCGAAAAAGGAACGAGAATGTTTACGTGTTTTCTCCTCTTTCTTTTCCTCCTCGAAGCCATGTTTCTTCGTTGTGGGGCCATCTCTTTCCCGTTTATGTGCACCTGAGAGAGAAAGGGAGAGTGTAATACTGGAAATAGAAGACAGGGACATAAAAATTAACACTGAAACAAAGTTTTTAAATGAAAGATCATTTGAAACTTTTAAAGGCTTTGAGTAAACAGAAGTTATAATCATTCAAATTTTGAGAAACAAACTCATTAAAAAGTAGAGAAAATTAGAATTAGATGCCTTGTTTTAGACTTTTGTAGACTAAACATTTATGCTTTTTGAGTTTTTCATTAAGCTTTTGAAACATTTGATTAAGATACTCAGATTTGAACTACTTTATATTAATTGAAATTAATTTACATTTAAATATCTGTTATAGATTTTAAATAATTTCAACTATATTTAAGTCTAAAAATTTAAACTTTTCAATTCTAAATGTACACCCATGCCATTAAATGAAACCCTACCAACCTCAAACGAAAATGTACCAACCCCGAATTAAAACATACTCAATTATAAACTATATTAAAATGAATATTCATCGTTTTGGAATGTTTAAAACTATGTTTGATTCATACACAAATGCTCTAGATAGTCTTGTTTTTTGGTAGTAACTTTTAGTTGATCGGAGATAAATCCTTATTATTGTAGATAATGCTAAATAATAACAATAAATCATATAATTTTGAATTAACAAAAAGACAATTGTCCGTTGATTAATGACTCTTTCTATAAAAAAAAATAATAATTAATTAAAGTAATTTAAACTTTTACATTGTTAACGACTCTTTCTATTAAACAATAATTAATTAAAGTAATTCCTCGTTATTAGGACAAAAAGTAATAAAAAATGTTTTGAAAACAAACGTACCAAAAATTCAAATGTACCAAGAAGCTAAATGGACCATTATAATCAAACGTACCTAACAACGAGTTTTGTTACATTCTATTTAATTTACAAAAATAAATTTTTAATAAAAAAATAAAAAAAACTTAAATCATCATAATAAGAGATGCATAAAATAGGAGGAAAAAGGGAATACTGACGTGAATAGACTTCTAATGAAATAAAATTAAAGTACCAAAATTGTAGGGAAAATGTTTAATTAAATTTACAAAAGAAGTAGATGTTTAGTTTATAACATTTAAAAATGAGACATCTATATCAAAACGTTCCTAAAAAGTAAGGTCGCTCGGTAAAATTTGGGACTCTTTCAATGGCCCATTCAATCATTTGGACTAGGGAATAGACCGGGGCCTAACTTTTTCTCATCTGGGTTGGGAAGCTCAGCCTGAACAAGGAGATGAATCTTACAAAACTTGGGCTGGGAGAGGTATACCCTTTCATACCTCAGGCCTGATCAGACTGGTCCTGCCCATTTTGCACTGTAAAAATATTAGGCATAAATACCTGAAAATCCTTCTGCAGAATTTTGTCTATTTGACGAACATTAAATTCGATAACGGAATATGATTTCTGCACATCATTAGTTTTTTTGTCGTTGTAGTGTTTGTAAAAAATGGGGCAGTCTGAGTTCAATACTTCGAGATTGTTGCCCCCACTCCACTGTGCACAGTAAACACTTGTGGTATCGGCCGCTTTCTCTCTGCCATAATACATATTTGTTTTCTTGTTTTGTTAAGTAGCTCTCTGCAGTAAATTATATATGAATTTAGTGGAGGAGAGGTGGGCAGGCTAGCATGTGTATGCAAGGTTCTAAAAGACGTTAGGTGTTAATCGGATGGCGCATTGGTGCCTAACGCCAAGTCGGTTAGGCAGAGCCTAAGCGGGCGCCTAGGCGGACTAGGCGGATTTAAGTAAATCTATTATATTTGTGTAAATAAGTGTATGTATATACTTAAGATATATATAAATTCATCATAAAATTACAAAATAGAATGACATATATATTATGAAATATTGGAACATAATGAAAATATGGGGAACAAGCATATAATTTGTGTTCGTTAAGTATTCAAGAGGTCTCTTACAATTTATTGAAAGTTATCTATTTTCTGTCTAATGAGTCGCAACCCAGGTGTGTGCCGAGGTGCGTCTAGTCGGGCTAGGCGGGTGCTTAGGCGGGCTAAGGGGTCCTATGCGAGCGCCTCAATAGGTCTAGAATCCTTTCTTAAGCATCAATTGGAACGGTGACCAATCGCCTAACGCCCAGGCGGAGATTTTTAGAATAGTGTGTGTATGTTACCTTGTATTTCCCTCGTAACAAAGAATTCAATTCAGTAATGTCTTATTAAATTTATGGTATTTTATCTTGGTCTCTTCGTGCCTTGCACCACAAGACACTAGGTGCTTCACACTTGTGGTACGTATAAAATCCCACCATGCCTTTGTCATTGTCATTTTGCTCTCTTAGGTTAGATCTAATCAAGATTCACAAGAGTGTATAACAAGAGTATATATACATACACGTTATGTTTCAACAATCGAATTCTTTATTTTTTTTTTTATGAATTATCTTAAAGATCATGTCTAACAAAAGTCACTCAAATCTAAAATATGACCGTTGGATTAAATTTTGTTTATTTGTAGAACTGTATTCGTTTATTTTCTTTAAACAAATGAAATTTTCAGTGGTTTTGGATTTGAAATTTTTTTTGTGAGAATGATCTATGAATGATGTACTAAAATATAGAGGGTTCAGATCATTAAAATACATTACGAAGTAGACCTAACAAAATGTATGTCAAAATATGTATTCCCGGATCCTAACTCATATATGTGTGTGTATGTTATAGAAACGATATTCAAATAGGAGAGATTCAAACTCAACAAATAGATGCAACAGAGAATAATTATAAGTTTTAAACAGTGAGCTACAACAGTAAATACATCAATAATAAAACAATATTCTATACAGGGTCTCACCAAATCCACAAGAACTATCCAAAGCCATATGGTGCATTCAAGTACAAGACTGCAAAAGAAATGCTAAAAGCTCCAATTCACGAGTATAAGATTAATGTCATTTGGATCTAACTTTCATTATGACTTTTTAATTCGTGAATTAGTCCCAAATTTAGAGTGATAAGCCACTAAAGATTGACACATCTAAATATCAACACATTATTAACACGTCTGTTAGGAGTTCAATTGCATGATAGACGCCTACGCCTATGAGTTGTTCATTTTTTGTTTTTACTTGCTAGGATCAATTTTAAAAAAACTAGTATTGAGACTAGCCTAGGTGGTTTTTTTGAATCGGGCTTTCAAAAAAACGCCTTTGTCCAACGGGAGTGGACTATAGACTAGCATAGGCGCCTGAAGCGGTAGCCTAATTGTTGTTGAGGCATTACCTAAGCATTTGAATTTATTATTTTCTTTTCTAAAAACAGCCTAAACCCAAAACGTTGTTATTTTAGGCATAATTTTTATCTTATTCATGCTAATTTTATGTTCCTAACTTAGTTTAGGTTATTATGATTTTATGATGTGAATTAGAGAAAAAACAATAATAGTCAAATATTTGATTGATTGACATGCTTGCTTGATTGTTTTACAAGGTATTATATTATATAATTAAGCATTATAATAATTTTAAAGTATCGCAAGGTTATCACCTCACGTCCCGAGCTATTCATGAAACGACTTAGTTTTGCCTTCATCTTTTAAAACATTGATTAGGATACAAAACTTTCATGTTAGCTAATTGTGCTAAGTTTTTGCTAAATAATGTACAGAAGCAAAGGTTTCTTTCTCTTGAAGTAATTAAGCTGTCCTATCCCTGTAAAGTAAGGCGAGAGTGCAACTAATACGATTGTGGGATGTGCACCGTTGTGTTTGTGTCTTCACTCGCAAAAGGTCTATCTATAATTCATGGTAAAGCGCCTACGCAGGATTCGATGAATATAAGGTCCCTCTATAAATTATAGAAAAAGAAAAGAAGTGCAAGCCTTTCTGTGTCTTGAGGTTCTTTTCATTGTACATTAAATATACCATAAATCAGAAGGTAAAATTTTATATGTTCTATAAGTCATGATGTGAATAATATCCCGCGTTGGAAAGTTAAGAAACCGAGAGTATATAAGGAGTTTAGTCAGTCCATCACTTGTCAATTGATTTTGTGACTAGAACTTCAAAATAAGATATCAACAACGTAATAAATACAAACGATGAGGGGGTAGAGGTTTCTGGGTCACGATATTGACGGAGTCATAAATTTGTTGATGTGGGACCTAAATATGCAATCTATCTATATGCAGATGATACTTTACAGCAGTGGCGGAAAACAATCATGTCTATGCACTCTGGTCATTCCCACGAATTTCTTTTCCCCCTAACAACTAATTAACTAACCTACTAACACTATCGCTCTACTCAAAATATTAAAATTTATATCATTTCGCTTCAATAAAGATGAATGAAACAAGATCAAACACCTCGAATATGTGCATGTAGTTTGAAGATGATCCCGCATATTCAAAATACATCATACAATCCCATCTGTTATGATTGCAGCTAGAGTAATGAATAAGGATAACATATATATTTGATATGTCCCAATACTGTCACATTATGTATTATAATATACCCAAAAAGATAAAGTTGTATCCATTTTTTGTAATAAAAATGGTGCAGCTTTTGTAGTATATCTTATTAACCTTTTGTTTTGGTTCTTTTTAAGAAAAACTCCTAAAAGAAGAAGATAGCAGCAAGTTGATTATTACTTATTAGTCCCTTATTAAGTGATTTAAGAACCAGTGTTAAGTTAGCTAGACACTGGTAGAGAAGTGCAATCTCTCTCCGTCCCTCCCTCTCTCTCTCGCTAATGGCAAGTTGTACTATTCTCTCCCTCTTCACATTCTTTGTTTCTCTGTCGTATTTCTACCTTCCTTCATCATGTTCCTCCTCCAGAGACTCCTTCGTCTTCGGAGGCTGCACGCAGGAAAAGTACTCACCCAACTCACCCTACGAGTCCAATCTCAACTCACTCCTCACCTCCTTAGTTAACTCAGCTACCTATTCCTCCTACAACAACTACACCATCATGGGCTCAAGCACACAAGACCTAGTCTACGGGCTGTACCAATGCCGCGGCGACCTTGCCATGCCCGACTGCGCCACCTGCGTTGCGCGTGCAGTGAGCCAGGTTGGACACCTCTGCGCCTACACTTCCGGTGGCGCTCTTCAGCTACAAGGATGCTACATCAAGTATGACAACACTACTTTCTTGGGTCTGGAGGATAAGACTGTAGTGTTGAAGAAATGTGGACCGTCGATTGGGTATGATGCTGATGGAATGAGCCGTAGAGATTCAGTGTTGGCTGCCTTGGTGGGGTCTAGCGGACCGTACCGGGTGGGTGGTTCAGGGGACGTACAAGGTTTGGCTCAATGCGTCGGCGATTTAAGCTTGGCCGAGTGTGAGGATTGCATATCAGAGGCAATAGGACGGGTGAAAAGTGAGTGTGGTGGCGCAGTTTATGGTGATATGTTCTTGGCCAAGTGCTACGCTAGGTACTCAACTGGTGGATCTGATGTTTACACCAAGGTCCATCATCATGGTAAGTTAGACTGGAACCTTTACGGTCACGTTATTTTGCGAATAATAGTCATACAATCAATTTAGCGATCTGATTCAATATTTTAGTAGATAATGTGTTGACCTTCTACTCATGCATCTTAAGTTTAATATTTCTCTCTCTCCTAAATTATTGTATCGTTTCGAACTCCCCACCTCTTTTTAATAATAGTAAAAAAAAATAGTTATGTGGACCTAGCTCAATATGAGTAGAAGAGAGCGAAATTTGATAACTCTAGCATTTTTTGTTCTTTAATGGGCATATTTATTTATAGGGCATAAGAATTTGAATAAATTTTTTATTCTTGATTTTTGTTCATGAATTATGTGTGTTTACTAAAATATGGAAACGAGAATGATTTCATTCTCAACTTTTTCAATTGTTTACTAACACACATAGAATCGCAAAGTGTGAGTTTTTTCTTAAAATTCATAATCAAATATCTGAAATTCAGGGATCAGATCGATTGGTCCCATTTCGTTTCTTAGTTCTTTTATTTCTAAGTTCTCTGGGATCATTCATTCATTCTCCTATTTCTATTAAGTAAGCATGTTGACTATGTTAATTTCTATAGAATTTAATTATTTTGTGGATTTACTCTTTCTTTTTTATTTTCAACAATGAATGGCAGATAAATCCGCCAGTGATGGTGAGAAGACATTTGCTGTGATAATTGGATTATTGGCTGGAGTTGCCCTACTCATTGTCTTTCTTAGTTTCATCAGAAAGATTTTTGGGGGCAATGGTACGTAGAATATTCACTTGATTGTCTCTCTTTTTACCTTCATTTCACTATTTCTTTTTAAATCATTTCATGGTTCATATATTATTATTAATCTTCTTTAACTTTAGAACCAGAAAGCAGATACCATATTGCAGAAATATCTTAACAAAATTTTCTGGCCGTTACTTTCTGTGCAGGTAAATAAATAATGAACATGCAAAGTTATTGGCTTCCCGAGTGATCTTGCTTTTGGTTATCTTTTCTCTTCGTCATGTCTACTTTCGTTCCTCCATGTCTTTATGCTTTAATTTCTTTGATTTAATTACTTTATGTCTCTCTCCAAAAGTAGAGTTCATAGAAAAGATGATGGAAATGTGTACGATGGGGCACTTGCTCAAAATCAAAGTTAAAAGGGAGGGTGAGAAAAAGAAAGGCTAAAGATTCCAATCTCCTCTCCACTTAAACAAAAGTGTGTTGAAAAAAAAGAGATGCATATTCATTTTGTAAAAGGGCAGATGATATTTTCTTTCTGAGACTGTTTGGTACTTTCTAAAATGTCACTTTATAATTCAATTGTGTATGGTTAATTTCTTCGTCATGAAGTATTGCCATTATTTAAACAACTTTGTTATCATGTCAAAGTTTAACGAGGAAACAAGGAAAATTTTCACCCCTCACTCCTTTGTCAAAGTACAATACTTAAAGCTAAAGGTAAATATTAAATACGTGCTATCACATTCAAAATATTCGCCGAGTAAACTCATATATATGTGCTCATGTAGACGCATAAACTTACCGTTATCCTTTTTAACCACTCAAAGAGTATGAATAGGATTTCACGGTTTGATTGAATTGAACATCATACGCAGAAGAACAATGTTGGACGTTACATCCAATATGCATTGCTACTAAACTGTGGAAACCCCTCCTTAGATTTACAATGAAGAGAAAGTTGTGCGCACACCAAGGTCCAGATTATGAAAGCGCTTTTAAAACTTGGAAACTCAGCAAGAAATTTTTAATGCAATAACAACATTGAAATTGTTCAGACGCAAATCCAACATTTGAACCTAACCTTGTCCACACAGTTTCGCGACGTGTTCTTGAACTGCAGTACCAAATCCGCTTCAAAATTAACTTGATGGTACCGATCTGCTTTCACTTGTCGGCAGATCAGATATACATCATACATAATACACACTACAGTTTTGATTCGGAGTTAAATTGTATAATGTATTCCTTCTTATTAGATGTTCGTACAACTATTAATTTCCTTGTAAATGCAATGCGATAGAAAGAAAATTTCTCACTTTATTAGTTCATGCAAATCCCCAAGGTATGAAGGTGAGTTTATGTGCACAAAATGCTTTAAGATTTCTTCTTGCAGAAGGCCACATGGAGGAACAAAATTACCCTCGTGATAGGGGAAACCGTAGTTGTAACTCTTGAAATCGTAGAGGCTATTACATGTTGGTAATTGTTTCCCTTTTGCATTCTTCAAGACCAAAATGCATAAAAAGTTACCTTATCAACTTGTAAATGTGCCTTATTGCTATCTATCTATTCTCCCATTTTTTTGCATTTCAGATCTATAGAAAGGACGTTTATGTTTTTGTTTTTATTTTCCGTTGTCTTTTGCTTGATTTCATGTTTTTCCTTCTGCAATGTTTAAGATGTCGCTCAACTGTGAAAATTTTGACTACCAAGCAACAAATAAAGAAGACTTAATCAAACATATCGGACTGAAACACATACAAGTAGGCACTTTTAGGTGCTATCTCTAATAAACTTTTGATATCAAGAGCAGAATAATAACTCACGGGTACGACGCCTACAAAGAGTTGTTATAACTTATACTGTACAAAACAAGAGAAGGAGAGCAGCAACTGTGCTACCACTTTATCTTGTTTTGTATAGTACAAGTGACAACGACTCGTACAAAAAAGATTGCCTTCATATCCTTTATTGTGGGCGCTTTATCCGTGCGATATTATCCCTCCTTTGAGATCAAAAGTTTTTATTAGCACCTGTAGTTGTCACCTTATGGGTGCTTTAGTTCTTTATATTTAGACTAGTCGTCTTCACTGATGGCTTGGTTTGCATTTGTCGCAATCCATCGACATATGCGAAAGATTGAGTAAGAAAAAAGATAAAGAAGAAGAAACAAGCCAAAAAACTTCGGGAGGGTATATGTATATTCTCATTCTCATGGTAATACTAAAAACCATGGAATTTATATAAATGAAAATGAATTTATATAAATGTTTTTCATTTGAGTAATTCTAGGTAGATCAAAATTTTAAATTTAATTTGCAAACCAAATAATGTGTCACTGCACGTTAATCAATATTTAAGTGATAATCCAATTATCAACAATCATATAATTTGGTTTGTAAAATTTAGTTTAAAAATTTGGTCCACCTAGCACTGACCTTTTCATTTTTACTAGTGATGTACTCACCTTCCAATTTGACCATATTAAAAAAGTGTCATGGATTCCTTATTTTTTTAAAGTACAATCATGCTCTCTGTTTTGTGGAATAGTGTGATTGGGTATTTATAGGAAATATTCAGATTTTTTTTCTTCCTTTTTTCTGTATTTTTTAAAATTTTGACATTATTTTCTAACTGAATTAATAATGACCGTGGGATGCAATTTTTTTTGCAATCCAATAGCCCATGTCGTGCCATGTGGCAAAACGGCTAGTAGGATTTTTTTACTTTAAAAAAAAAAATTCATGTTTGAAAATGACGGATTAATATTGACTATGCGATTATATGACAATTACAAATTCAATGGTCCACATCTCGCCACGAATACTAGTCGTTTGATTAGAAATCAAATTTTTATAATACCGTTGAAAATGCTACAGACGTATACAAGCAATGTCGCTCATGCAGAATTTGCGCTAAGTGCGCTGCAAGTTAGACACACCGACCTTTTTTGTTTGCCAATGTGCTACCCATGAGCTTGTATTGTGCACGCGCTTCACGTAAAAAATTTAAAACGTGGCTAATGTCACACAACACTCGGGCGTATAGTTCAGCAGAAATTGCCTAACTAGCCCATCGAGCTGTTTTGGGTCCACCATTTGCCCGACTTTTTGCGCTAGGGTGGAGATGATATTTTGGATTTTGGGACAATAATTGCCCAATTGCCAAGGCAATCGGGTAGGATGGACTTGCTCTAAATAAAATTATTAAGATAATGTTAGGGAAACTAAATTTTTAAATCAAATTGCAAACTAAATGACGTGTCATTAATAGAAAATAAGGAAAACTAATGAAAAGAGCTTGAAAACTTTGAGTTTTAACGATAAAGACAAAATAAAGGGTAAAGTGAATAGTACCATGATTGACTTTTTAGTGTAAAAATGTGGTTTTTTGTTTAAGTGAACAATACCGGAAGTTTTTCGTTAAAGTTTCTTAAAAAATAAGTATGTTAGTTAATATTAAGTAATAATATAATTATAAACATCCACATCTTTATTCTTTAATTTATAAAATTTGATTTAAAAATTTAGTACGTTTCAATTTGCAAGGGTATAGCATGTTTTAATACTCATGGCCCAATTCAATAGCCCAATACCCAAACGAGGGAAATATACGGCACCCCATGACACCCGTGGTATTCACTGTTCAGAGACGTTGGTGATGAAATTGATCCAACGGCGGCTAGAGACGTACGGGAATGTCGTAGAAGTAGCCTGGAAACTGAAGCGGATAAGAAGTTCTGAATAGAAGCTTCTGGGTTCTGTTGATGAGTCCGATGCCAATATATACTAACCCCATCAATATCAATATCAATATCATCCACGTCTTTTTAGTTGCTTCAAAATTGTTCAAAGCAAACGCAAATGGCAGCTGATAGCTCCCTCCGATTTTCCGAGAATGGTCCGGATCAACGGCCCTCATGGACTGGCTTGAATCCCCTAATTCCCACATATTCAAGATCAATGTTCCAGGTACTATCACTAATTCTTTCTTTACTTCCCTAATCAAATATTAATAGGGTTTATAAGTTATTCATCTCTGCCTCTGAATTGTTATTACTTGGAATTAAAAGTTATGTCCTAGATATGGATTCTTTGCTCCCCTTTTACTGTAATTTTAATTAGGGTTTAGTGAAAACTACCCTTAATATATCGTGACATCTTGTATCAATAATGTCATGTAGAAAAGTTGAAATATATGACATCGTTTTTGGTCAAATGTCACGGTGACCTACTAGAGTTAAAGAACAAACAATACGATCACTTATAAAAGTTGAAATGCATGTCATTGCTTTGTTGGTCAGATAAAATTTTGTTCCTTGAATTAAAAATATGCGACTATTAGTCTTTGAATTTGTCACAATAAAAGACAAACAATGGCCTTTCTAGATAACATCGTAATGCTCGTGAATTTTTATTTCCAACACAAAAGCTCTAATTTGACTAAAATTTAGTGTCACATCCCGGCCCGGGGCGGACGACTTCCCGGGCCCGCTCCACTACTGTAGCATGATATTGTCCGCTTTGGGCTTACCATTCCCTCACGGTTTTGTTTTTTGGGAACTCACGAGCAACTTCCCAGAGGGTCACCCATCCTGGGAGTGCTCTCGTGTGCTACTCGCTTAACTTCGGAGTTCCCATGGAATCCGAAGCCAGTGAGCTCCCAAAAGGCCTCGTGTTAGGTAGAGATGGGAATATACATTTAAGGATCACCCCTGGGCGATGTGGGACGTCCTCGTCGGCACACTCGCGACCAGGGTTAGGCTCTGATACCAAATTGTCACATCCCCGCCCGGGACGAATCACTTCCCGGGCCCGGCTCCACCACCGTAGCACGATATTGTCCGCTTTGGGCTTACCATTCCCTCACGGTTTTGTTTTTGGGAACTCACGAGCAACTTCCCAGTGGGTCACCCATCCTGGGATTGCTCTAGCCCCCTTCTCGCTTAACTTCGGAGTTCCTACGGAACCCGAAGCCAGTGAGCTCCCAAAAGGCCTCGTGCTAGGTAGGGATGAGAATATACATTTAAGGATCAGTCCCCTGGGCGATGTGGGATGTCACAATCCACCCCCCTTAGGGGCCCGACGTCCTCGTCGGCACATTTCCGGCCAGGGATAGGCTCTGATACCAATGTCACATCCCGGCCCGGGGCGGACGACTTCCCGGGCCCGCTCCACTACCGTAGCACGATATTGTCCGCTTTGGGCTTACCATTCCCTCACGGTTTTGTTTTTTGGGAACTCACGAGCAACTTCCCAGAGGGTCACCCATCCTGGGAGTGCTCTCGTGTGCTACTCGCTTAACTTCGGAGTTCCCATGGAATCCGAAGCCAGTGAGCTCCCAAAAGGCCTCGTGTTAGGTAGAGATGAGAATATACATTTAAGGATCACCCCTGGGCGATGTGGGATGTCACAATCCACCCCCCTTAGGGGCCCGACGTCCTCGTCGGCACACTCGCGACCAGGGTTAGGCTCTGATACCAAATTGTCACATCCCGGCCCGGGACGGATCACTTCCCGGGCCCGGCTCCACCACCGTAGCACGATATTGTCCGCTTTGGGCTTATCATTCCCTCACGGTTTTGTTTTTGGGAACTCACGAGCAACTTCCCAGTGGGTCACCCATCCTGGGATTGCTCTAGCCCCCTTCTCGCTTAACTTCGGAGTTCCTACGGAACCCGAAGCCAGTGAGCTCCCAAAAGGCCTCGTGCTAGGTAGGGATGAGAATATACATTTAAGGATCAGTCCCCTGGGCGATGTGGGATGTCACATTTAGGACCAATTCTCCTTTTAGGAGTGAACCATTTATTTTCACTAGGCAAAGTAGATTCAACAATTCACAGTTGTGACAGAGATTTTGTGGCAAAATAGGTTTTAGAAAAGAGGACATAAAAGTGCAGATAGAAGAAGGAAACATTTTGCAGATAACAAGGGGAAGGCGGGAAAGAAAGAGAGAAGGCTCATGCAGCAAAAGACACTGTTTGGCACGTCGCGGAGACGCCGAAGAGGGGGACGGGAAAAGGAGACTTTTCCCGGGAAATCGCATTGCCGGAAAATGTGAAAGTCGATCAGATAAAAGCTCAGGTTGAGAATGGTGTTCTCACCATTGTTGTCCCAAAAGATACGACCCACCAAACCATCCAAAGTGCGAAACATCAATATCACTAGCAAGATCTAAGCATATTCATATGTATGTTATGTCATATGGTTCAAAAACAATGGTTTGAATGTGTAATGTATTGTGCTATAACCTGTAGCAATAAAGATAATATGTACTGTCGTTAGTACTAAATCCGCGTATTTTTAGCTTTTTTATACAATCGATATTTGAGAAGGGGGAATACAAGAGCTCGGTTGAATCAAGTTCAAACACAAAGCAACCAAGTGAAGCAAATTGCAAGTGCAAAGCCATGCATTTCCAAAGCTAAGAGTGTAAGCGTGTAAGAAATATTTAGAAACTTTGATTAGGTCAATAAATAATTTCACATTTCGGCAGAGCTGGTTGGTGGTATTGTAATTTCTAGCACTGGTTAGCCGGAATTATTGTACTCTTCAACTATTACCAATAAAAACATGTCTCCTCTCCAACTAAGAACAATAAAAGAGCTCTTTTTTGAATTCTCCTCCAATCATATATGTCTAAATATTATCATGTATGAGAGATATTTTTCACATGCTTAAAATACAAGTAGGTACGTTACCTGTCATAATATAAGTGGTGTTTTTCAATGTCATGTCACTTGTATTAATCCTTGGTGTATCATATTGCATTCTAAATCAGTAAAGAATCTATCGTCATGAGATTTTAATTTCATGAAGAGCTTATTCGAATTAGATATGGCCTTGAAAAAAATAAACATGGACTTGAATTAAATATGTTCAATTTCATGAAAAATAAAATTAAAAAAATTATTTTTGTTCACTACAGTAAAACATCATCTTTAAATTCTTAAAGTTACATAAATCTAACAACGGTGTATTTATACGGCGAGATAAAATATAATTTACATTAGGTGATGAGATAATAAATTAGTATCGAACTCATAATAGTGAGATTTAAACTATTTTCTTTTTTAAGATATTCTATAATAATCTACACTAAAAAGAATGTAAGCACTTGAACTTGAAAAACACTGAGTTGAAGAGAAAAACCATAATTCAAATTATTTTCTTTGTTTGAGAGAGCACTTCCACCATAATTCATGTGAGAGAGGTTGTTGTATAATCAAATCATGTCGAGCATAAACACTAAAAGACGTAGTATCATATGAATTATTCCAAAACAAAAAATACATTATATAAAAGTATGAACTGGTTCTAATAGGCATGTGACGTGTGTCTTGGTTGGTTGGCCTTTTTTGGGGTTTTATTTGTTTAATTTTTTGGGTTATTTTTCTTATTTTTTAAAGAATTGTTATTAGCATTCTAAAAATTTCATTCTACACTCCAAACTTTTTACATTATGAAAGAAAAATACACTTTGTGAGGAGCGTAGAATGAAATTTTGAAGTGTCAATGACACTTCCCATTTATTATATATTGACCAAAACGATTAGGGTATTGATAATAAAAAAAAGTCTCCCATAATTTCAGATTTGATTAGGCTCAAACATTCCAAAAATCCCATTACCTATACCGTATATTTCCAATAAATGACCGTTAGATACAAAGTAAAAGCAAAATCTTTTTACAAACAAAAACGATTTCAAATTAGCAAAAAATCCAATCAATTTGAGAACTTCAAGGTGTTATGTAATCAATTATTTCTTATACAATTTCCTTTTTAGCTAGATGATCTTTTAAGGAACTAATTTAAAGACATCATTTTTCTCTATAGCCCATGATTATATAGACCGTTAGATTGAATGAAGAAGAAGAAAAAAATCAATCGATATAAACAAATCAGATACGTAAATAGAGAAAAAAAACATTGGGTAAAAATCAATTTCCTTTCCTTGTTACTATGACAAATGGTTTGACGTATCTTAATGCACTTCCTAATTGGCCGTATACATTTTCTTATTGACAAAGGTAAGTCCATCCAAGTCATGGCATGATATGCTCCCTAAATTTAGACCCACCATTTAATGCACACCCAAGAATTATAAGTTTTTTTTTAACCAAAATAATCTTTGAGATTAGAATAATTTGTCATTTTGATCTATGAGATTTAAAATCGAGAGAAGTCGTTAATGAGATTATGCATCATCAATCATTTTATAAAAAATCTCAATTAAATTGATAGTATTTTGTCAAATCAACCCCTTTATTTAAACTAGTGGTTTCTTTATGGGATTTTTCATAGAAGAACCAAAATAATTGACAGTGGACAATTTCAGGTATCGTTTTTATATCTCAAGTATCGATTTTAAATCTCAAGAACCTGACAATCTGATGAACCATTTGACTAAAAAGTTAAATTTATATAATAAGTGCGGTGTGTCTCACACATCTTTTGTTAATTCTGTTATTTGATATTCTTTAATTTATTTGATCTGATGATCGTAAATTAAGTACGTATGTGAGAAGGAAAAAAAAAATGTATATAGCACACCCGTATAAGATATTCACATCTACATTTTGAAGACTTGAAGACCGTCCTAATGTATGGGTCCATTCCGAAGCTTCCGTTGCGTTGATGATTGGCTCTTAAACTTCCCCAAAACCCCAAAATTTTCAACCATTCCCACACGTACTTTAATGTTTCTAAAAAAAAGTCAGTGGCTGCATTATAACTATTTACACCTGCACGTACAGAATCGGTCGCGTTTTAAACGCCATTTCTGAATTTCCGGTGCGCTTAATTCAAACGCAACAACCTCAGTGTCCTCTCAAGTTCTCAACCGTCCCCCTCCTTCCTTCAATTTTCTCTCGTTTTCTCTCACTTTCTCGCCAGCCAAACAGACACTACACAACCAAATTCGAGTTCAACTCACAAAACGGATGAAACCCATTTCGTAACGCGCCCCGAAGAACAAACCCACCTCTGTTTTTCGCCATTGGAGTTGAACAAATGAAGCCCTCGAAGCTGATTTCGTTACTGGTATGTTGGCTTGGTGTTTTCCTGACTGCAAATTCTGATCTGGCGTCCGACAGAGAGGCCTTGCTGGCGCTCAGGACCGCTGTGAGAGGCCGTACAATGGGGTGGAACGTGACGGAGACCAACCCCTGTTCGTGGCTCGGCGTCAAATGCGAGTCGGACCGGGTCACCGAGTTGAGGCTTCCGGGTCGGGCACTCGTCGGGAAGCTCCCTCCGGGCCTCGGGAACTTGACACAGCTCTTAAGCCTCTCTCTGCGCGTAAATGCGCTCTCCGGTCCACTCCCGAACGACCTTGTCAACTTAGTCAACCTTCAGAAACTCTATTTGCAAGGTAACTCGTTTTCCGGTCCAATTCCTGAGTTTTTGTTCAAATTGAAAAACCTTACGAGATTGAACCTTGATAAAAATAAATTCTCCGGTGAAATTTCTCCGGGGTTTAATAATTTGACGAGTTTGGTAAGTCTACATTTGGAAGAAAATGAGCTTACTGGGTCAATTCCTGAGCTGGGTTTGTCGTCTCTGGGACAATTCAACGTTTCCTTTAACCAGTTGAACGGGTCGGTCCCGGCGAAGCTTTCAGGTTGGCCCAAAAACGCGTTTGAGGGGAATTTGCTCTGTGGGAAGCCGTTGAAGCCCTGTAATGAGACTGAGAGTGCTGGGAAGAAGAATAAGTTGGCTGGTGGGGCAATTGCAGGGATTGTGATTGGTAGTATTATTGGGTTCTTGGTGATTGTTGCCATTGTGATATTTTTGTGTAAAAGAAAGAAAAATGGCGAAAACGGTACAAACTTTGTCGTGACAGGGAAGCCTCAGGAGGCTGAAACCGCCCGTGGAAGGGCGGTGATGGATAGGAGTTTGAGTACTGGTTCCTCATCTGCACCGAAGGGGAATGTAAAGAGTGGTGGTGGGAGTAAGAGTTTAGTGTTCTTCGGGGATGCGGTGAGGGTGTTTGATTTGGAGGATTTGTTGAGGGCATCCGCTGAGGTACTTGGAAAGGGGACTTTTGGGACTACGTACAAGGCCGCTTTGGATAGGGGGGTGTCAATGGCAGTGAAGAGGTTGAAGGAAGTGGCTGTATCAGAGAAGGAATTCAAGGAGAAGATTGAAGAGATTGGGAGAATGGATCATGTAAATTTGGTCCCACTCAGGGCTTACTACTATAGCAGGGATGAGAAGCTTCTTGTGTATGATTACATGCCTATGGGAAGCTTATCTGCTCTTTTGCACGGTGAGCACTTCTTTCTGGGGTTCCATTAGTTGCATTATGATTTGTAGCTATTATTTTTGTTGGTATTTTCCCGTTTGTTTTTCTGTAAACGGTTTCTGTTGGTATATCATGTTAATTGAGTTTTTCTTGATTGTGTTTCTCCGTTGGATGGATTTTTGGTACATTTTCTATGTCAACTGCATTGTCGTTTTGTTGTCACGTCTTTGGAATTGGACTAGTGATGTGGAAGCCTTTTGTTTGTCATCGCTTGCTATACATATCAATACATATTGAAAAAGACACGGAATAAATAATAGATCATACTGAATTTCGTCCGAGAGCAACTAGGATTGTGACCCATTGGAGCTGTTTCTGTTACATGGAAGAAGCAAAATGTGAGGTCCTAAGAAAGTATTAAGCTATATAGGCATAAGAAGGATGTCTTTATTTGATTACTGGTCTCTTGTATTGGATAAGAGATGTGGCATTTAGTCCCATATGCCTAGCAGAACTTACATGGACCAGGTGCAAAGACATGCTGGAAGCTTCTGAGCTTTGACGTACTTGAAGCAGTTCTATCTTTTATTTTTAAATCCATTATTCGTTGGCAATAAATCACATTGGATGAATTTGTGCATATGCAGTGCATAATTATTCCTGAAAGCAAGAAGCATCTTTTGTAATTCTCTGTGTGTGTGTGACTGAATTTGTGCATATGCAGTGCATAATTTTTTTATTGTCTTTCTGGTAAGAAACAACTGGTATGCCAGTTCAATTCAGTTTTTGGCACCTTTGTTATTATTTATATTGATGATGTATTGGTGCTCTTAGCTCCATTTGTTGGTAAGATATGATATTTTATTTAATGTTTCTGTTAAGTAATTCGCAAATATTGGTTAAATTTTTAATAATGCTAGCAGTCTTGCACCAAACGCCCGTGTTGTGCTCTTCAGCGGTGCTAAAATTCAAAAACCCACATCGAAAGTTGGAAAACAACAATGTTGCCGGACCTCTTTGTTCTCTTTGTTCACCATCTTTCTGTTAGCATTTCATTTATTTATCTTTTCACTACAGGTGCCAGAGGCTCTGGAAGGACTCCATTGATTTGGGAAACAAGGTCTGGTATTGCTGTTGGAGCTGCTCGTGCAATTACATATCTACATTCTCAGGGTCCCACGACCTCCCATGGAAATATTAAATCTTCAAACATCCTTCTCACTAGAACCTATGAAGCTTGTGTCTCTGATTTTTGCCTTGCTCATCTTGCAAGCCCAACCTCTACTCCGAACCGCATTTCTGGTTATCGTGCCCCAGAACTCACAGATACTAGCAAAGTAACCCAAAAGGCAGATGTTTACAGCTTTGGCGTATTGCTTTTGGAGCTACTTACAGGAAAGCCTCCAACCCAAGCTATCATGAATGACGAAGGAGTAGACCTTCCAAGATGGGTTCACTCAGTGGTTCGAGAGGAGTGGACAGCCGAGGTGTTTGACTCCGAGCTTCTCAGGTACCAAAATGTTGAGGAGGATATGGTTCAGCTTTTACATATTGCACTTGAATGTACTGTTACGTACCCTGATAGCCGCCCTTCAATGGGTGAGGTGACTAGCCGAATCCAGGAGCTTTACAGTTCCAGCTTACAGCATGGACATGATCCGAATCCTGATATATCTCATGATGGAGACGATGGACTTTCTTAGCAGTATTCTTCAGCTGACAAGCGCATACCACCGGAAGGATTGAACATAGATCTGCACTCTTCCTGCATTGCCCTTCCGGTCAGGCATAATTTGTTTATTCTTGAGTTTTTCGTGAGAGAAAATTTACGGCCGGGATCATGGTTCCTTATCGTTTTCACCATATTTGTTTTCTTAGTAGCATTCTTCTTTTACCCCATGTATATTACCGTTTATACTGTTTCATGTTTGTGGAGGGGGATATCTGTATTACTGTTGTTTATAACGCGGTTGCCTAAATTGCGAATCTGAGTTTGCCTGAGTGAGGTGTTCTCACCTCTTCTGTTTCTTCTTGGCTTTGAGCTCGATGCAAATGTTATTGATTTGAAAATGCTTCATTTGTTCTTTAATTTCAGCTAATCAAGCATTATCTCTTTGCTTGGAGAATAATTTTATCAGATAGTTTTGAGCACTTTGATGATTTGAGGGTTCTCTTCTTCTCTGGGATCCCAAATTGGGTTGTGGGATTCTCTGCATGGATAATTTGTACTTGAGTGGGTTGGTCGGGTTAGTATTCAACCTGTTGGCCAACCCAACATGCTCGGGTTGGAATTGTTCTGACTCATTTTCACTCAAGAAAATGGGTAAACCAACCCATCTAAATCATTGTTTAGAGGGTTGGGTTGGGCGGGTTCCATGTGCTGGGTTTAATTGGTTTCTTTGTTATTTTTAATGTGAGTAGGGGTGATTAATAATCAATGCTTGTGTCAAATTAGGCCTAAGTCTTGTGGATAGGATGTTGTTATATCACTACATACTACTAATACATAAATTTTACTATTCAAATCAAGAATTAATGAACACATACGTTTAAAAGTTACTCAATTATATGTGTATATATCCACCTAATATACATGTATGTTTAAGAGTTATTGTCATTTGAGTGCTTCAGTTTCAATCGGGCTAATAATATTTTAACCCAACCCGACCTATTTATTGAACAAACGTTCATGTTTATACTCATAAATAAATTATTAATGTTTATAACTCAACCCAACTTAATCCATATCGTGTGGGTTGGTCAATAGACCCACTAAAATAGCAGCCCTATTAAGAGGAATATCATTAAACAATAACTCTTGTTTATTTTTTAATACGAATGATAATATTGTCTTAATTTACATTAAATGGAAAAAATTCAACTTGAAACGAAATGGGTTAAGATAATAAAATTGTAATTAAAAAATATATAATCCATTCGTTTTGATTTTGGTCGGTTTCAAAAGTATCAAAACCAAACTAAATCAGCATAAAATCAATTCGGCTTAGTTTTTAAATTGTTTAGCCATTTTCTTGATAAAAACCAACTAAAATGGTTCGATCAGTCGGTTCGGTCGGTTTGGAGCCCACCCGCAGTTAAAAACTTGAGAAAGATTAAAAAAACAAAAAAGGCCAAAAAAAAAAAAAACAGGGGAGCAGCGGTCGGTCGTTGCAAAGGAGAAATTTTTCATTGTAACGGGAGCACAAATGGTACACTTCGTATTTTAATAGAAGTTGTGAAAAATTTTATTTTTTAAATTAATAAATTTTTAGCATACATATCTCATAATTTATATAATACAACGTGATGTATCATCTCGTGTACCAATCACATTAAAAAATCACTCAATTACAAGAGGGAAAAACAAAGGAATCATCAGAGTCGGGCCGGCCCAAGTTTCCCTTCTTGTTGGTTTCCTTCCTCTGCTTCCTTTTTCCTCCTCCCTCCCGTTTGCTTGCTCGTCTTATTCTTAACAACAAATTCTCCATTTCTCAGTTGTTTCGAAAAAATGGGTTTGCTGGATTCCTTCCTCAATTGGCTCCGCAGGTAACCTCTCCGTTTTCTTCCTTTCTTTTTTTTTTATTTTTTATTTTTGATGTTATTTTTTTCACTTTCTTTTGTTTGTTTAATTTGTTTTTTTTGAGCTTTTGGATTTGTTTCCGTTGGAATGTGTATTGTAGTTCTCTGATTTATGTGCTCAACTTTGTATTTTCAAGATTTGAGGTGCTAAAAGTTGATTTATTTGAGAACTTCCCGTCCTATGCCAAGTTGCTATCAATCAATAAATAGTAGAATTGAAACCGAAAAGTGATTGCTTAATCGGATGGGCTTTGTTTTGTTGAATCTGTATTACCCTGAGCTTTGTGTTATTCCTTAAACCGAAAACCAAACCAAGCGATAAACGAAATTCCAAAGAACACAAAACAATTTAAGAGTTCCTCCGATAGGAGTATCTCTCTACCAAAAGGGCGACCCCAAGCCAACAAGGCTCCCCGCTTACGAGAGTGGGGGGATGTCTATTGTAAGTAGCCTTACCCTTGCTTTGCAGAGAGATTGTTTCCACAAATGCAAAGAGGAGTGCCTTTCTACTAATGGAACCTTTTATTAATCACCAATCAAATACATGAGAACCCACAAATTCACAATAGCTCTCAAGTACACAATGAACGCCTCACAATCTTCTGTTTAAAACTGCTCCTCAGATCGTCTGTTTAGACTAATAGATGACATAGGTTACAGCCAAAACCTAGTAGGAAGCCAAATCCGTCAATACATAGGAAACCAAATCCTAGACTAAATTCCTAAACAATAGTTAGCTTGCGTCCAGATGAACCCAAAAAACGTAAATCTTTTTATCCTATATTGATACTTGTTTTAGATTAGGAACATATTGATTTTATGCCAATTCCAATACACTGTTCAATTTCGGTTGAGAACTTCATGTTTAATATCAATCTCAAATTAGGTTGCTTTTAGGCTTTGTGACTCCAGTGGGTTCGAGCACTTAGTAGTTAAATCATGAGAACTAAGACGATTATCTTACTGTGTAATTAGCTGCTGAAAAGATATGTGGACTGAGAAAATTTAGGAATTTGATTTTTTTTGTTCTGTCAACATTGCAACTTTGTGGTTATTCTGATTGAAGTCATCTTCGTTGTTAAAACCATAGTAGTGACACTTGCGAAGGTAAAAGAATCCATGCTATTGATAAGATCTTATTGGTGGGATGTTGGGAGTGATATCATGTTGATACTATTGGGTTTTCATTTTACTCCTGCCTCCCTACCTTTCCATGGGATAAAGAACACGTTTGAACAAATATCTGATGTAGCTTTATTGTTACCGGAACCTAATTGTAGCTTTATTGTTACTGGAACCTAATTGTAGCTTTATTGTTACCAGAACCTAATGGTACCCTTCTTTGAGTCTTCCATCTACAGAACTGAAAGACCAATTATACTCTTTGTTGAGATAGGCTAACTGTAGTCTATGCCTGTTTGACTTTTGAAGTTTTGATTGCATTACTGCTTAAATATTGGAAACATTGGACACCACCAAGTGAAGCAATGCATAAGTTGGAATTCAAGTTTCCCTGAGGGGCAGCACATATGTGTTGCTCTAAATCCTTTTAAATAATTACATATAGTTTTCATGGTGTTATTTGATATTGAATTTCCTATACCTAAATGGGGGTACACATTGCACATTTCATGAACATAAAGAAGATCTACAATCCTCTTAAAATCAACTGAGCACTAAATTGAAGTTCTAATAGTAATAATCAAAAAAAGAAAAGAAAAGAAGACAAAAACTTAACAAGAGAACTATATAAACTTAATGTGCTAGTTCAAAAGTTCATACAAAAACTTTGGAACTTGTTATTCACGTTCTCTTAAAAGCTTTTTTAGATCCAGTACCTAGAACACTAAAACAAGAAAGTGTCAGAAGCAAGAATAAGGAAACTTAAACTCTTAAAATTTCCAACTTATCAGAATCCTGACACAAATATAAGACTTCTCCTCTGATCCAGATTAATGTAAAAACTTTCTGTTTGGTTTCATTTGATAAACGATTCTAATGGATTTAAGAGCTGGCAAATCTTAGCTAATATAATCTGGGAATGTTTTGTCAAGAGATGGAGCAATTTGAACTCTTCTTTCTCTCTAATGTTGTTTCTTGATATCTACACTCGATTTTGTATACTTCTTCTGTTCTAGGAAGAGGTAGAGTAGCTCTTATTGAGCAGTGTCTAGTGAAATAAGTTCTTAGGTCCTTGAAACATGAGCAATATAAATGAAAAGTCCCTAGAATCCCTAGATGATTCCGATCAAGGCAATGACTTTGAAGCATAATGGACTATGTTCTGGCTCGCTAGTTCAAACCTCTTAACCCATATCATTCCTATGACTTTTCTAAATTATTTTATCCCCTCAAGTGTTTGTTCCTTCTAATCCATGCCAACTACTCGTCTGAAGTTGTCTATTATTTCTGTTCAAACAGTCTCTAGCGACACTGAGACGTATCTCTTTTCTTAGCTGAACATGAATGATTTAAAAATACATAATACAAGGATAGAATGGTCTCTACCTTGGAGTCATTAGACCTGTTTTACAACCGAATTTCCTTGCATGAGAAAGTGTTAACTGTAGTAAAACCATTGGATATGATATGGGACAAGTTTGAGGATGCATTTTCATCCTTGTGGATTCTGCATATGATGACTTCGGTTAATCCATGTGCACATTGCGATCCTTTGTTTGAAGCATGTAATTTTTCAGTAATTTTCGTAGAATACGGCCATGATTGAACATTTAAAAGCTGTAACGTGTGAGAACTATTGGCTTCTATATACTTTCAGGTTTCCTTAAATAAAGTTTGCAGTGAGTCTTATTGGGGGTTCGCCTTTCTGTTATTATGAAAATGTCTCAAATTGAAAGGTTTCTGGATTTATCTGTTATCAGTTTGCTAACTTTGTGTCACCCAACCGTGTTCGTACATGTCAGCCTATTTTTTAAACAGGAAATGGAACTTTCACTAGTAGGGCTTCAGAATGCAGGAAAGACGTCTCTTTTAAATGCCATTGCTGTGAGTGAACGCAAACGTTGCATGTCCTTTATACCATGCACAATTGCTTTCCCTTCACATTAATCGTTCTATGTTTTCTTTACCAGACAGGGGGCTACAGTGAGGACATGATTCCAACTGTAAGCATATCTCTTGAACAAACTAAGGAATTATGTTGACATTTTATATGATCAAATAAATAAATAAGCATATAACATGAAAAGTAATACTTCTAGTACTTACGAGGAATATTCGTTTTTTGAAAACTAGGTTGGATTCAACATGCGAAAAGTAACCAAGGGAAATGTGACAATTAAGGTTTGGGACCTTGGAGGGCAAAGAAGGTTCCGTTCAATGTGGGAGCGTTACTGTCGTGGCGTCTCTGTAATTGTGTAAGTCTTTCAGTCATTTACTATCTCTGAGTTTCTCTCGTTTTAATATCACATATCTTTCTTTTGCCATCAATTGCTTTTCAGGAAACCAGCAAATGTCTGCTACTGTGCAGGAACATTATATTTTGTTCGTGAAACTTAATCCTGATTCGAAATTGGGCTCTTTCTTCTTTTATGATATTTTATTCTTCTAAGAACCATGGCAATTTAACTGGCAATTATATTATTGAAAAACGAAGGTTCCTTACACTTATTCTTACATCCGGTATTATACAAAGTAGGCTATCTGTCATTCATTATCGTTCTCCTTGGTGACATTAATCAGTTTTTTTCAACAATATATGTTTCTTTTGAGATAACAATGTATGGTTCATCAGACGGCAAATCGATTTCAAGACTTGTCGTATTAGTTTATTCTTTTCCGTACACATAATGGTTATTTCATGATGGATGTTGTCACAGCTATGTAGTTGATGCTGCTGACAGAGACAGTGTTCCAATAGCTCGAAGTGAGCTGCACGACCTCTTGATGAAACCTTCTTTAAGCGGGATTCCGTTACTAGTTCTTGGCAACAAAATCGACAAGTCTGAGGCTCTTTCCAAGCAAGCATTGGTTGATCAGCTGTGAGTACAGAATATTCTACAAGTTGATGCTTCACCCACCATTTTCATTTTTTTTTTTTTTGCTGATTGCTACTTGATGTTTTTCATTGGGTGTTTTCAGAGGCCTTGATTCAATCACGGACAAAGAAGTGTGCTGCTATATGATTTCATGCAAGGACTCCATAAACATAGATGTCGTCATTGATTGGCTTATCAAACACTCCAAAACAGCAAAATGATCCGCGAATGGCCCTTGCATTTCGAGGCGAAGATCAGGCGCTGAAAGACATGTCGATGAAAACAACCGTTTCGAGACTCTGGGCTATAGTAGGTAGCTATACTCCGACTAGAGATCTGTACAGGAGTTGTATAGTTGCGAAGTGTGTTATGCTTTGGTTATATTGTCCTTTGCTCCTTGGTAACCATTTCAATTTCAAATGAAGGATCCCAAATTAGAAGCACCTTTTTGTTAATTAAATATTTCTATGTTATCACTCAAGAATGAGGATCCTCTCAGGATCCTGAAAATCTTTTAATCGTGTTCATTTATTGTATATTGTACGATCAGTTTTTTGTCTGTGTTCAATTTTAAATAAATAAAAATTAAAATAGTTTATGATCGTATGATGTACGATAAACAAACACGATTAAAAGATTTCCAAATCCTCTTTAGGATCCTCTTTCTTCACGCATATTCTTACAGGCTTTGAACCAGCTGCATTGGTTGTACTTGCTCTAAAACTTTAGCTATTTGTATTACAATGATGAGGACTTGTATGGATGCGAAGTAAAAAAATAATAAAAGATAATTTCATGCTTATTTTTGAATTTTTAACTAAATCTGTCACTCCATGTTTGGTTATTTGAAATTACAATTTTAGTGGATAAATTTTTGATAAAATTTTTAACCAATCTCGTAGTGTCATGTGTCATGATTGAGTAAGAATTTTATAGGTAGATTTTCGATAAGATTTTTAACTAATCATATTGCGTCACGTGACGCCTATCTATTCAGAATCTTTGTGAATAATTTTCGATAAAATTTTCAACCAATTACAACTGCCACGAGGCGTACACCCTTTAAACTTTTATCGATACATAAATAAATTCGGGTTTCTTCTATTTGATCGAGAAGAAGGAAGTAGCAGCCGTTCTGCCCTTCACGAGCCAGCGACCCTCCAATCCACAACAATGGTACCTCTCTCTCTACACATCCACTGTTTGTTTCCTCAGAAATTTGTTTGACGTTTCAGTTTTGTGGGAAAATGTATTTGTTAATATAGGCTTGTAAAACCTAGAACCCCAACTTGTTAAATAGACTAGAGAGTTCCAAAGTTGAGAAATGAAATGCAAACCGAGTGTTGGGGTTTCTCAATGGTGAAACCTAGAACCCCAACTCGTTTGACGTTTCCAGGTACCATTTTCTCCTCTCCTCTCCTTCCTTTTAGGCCTTTGTGAATTTGTGAAAGGTTTGATAATTTTTTCTTCTATCTGTCGTATGTATTGGATTGGGTTGGATTTGTGAATTGTCTTTACATTTCGAGTCAAGTCATTTAGATGATGATCATGCATTTACTTGTTTAAGTGACCTTCCCAGATTTGGTTTTGTGTTCTTGAAGCTGTGAGTTAAGTTTGGCAAGGTTTTTCCCAGAACCAATTTTAACGACACCAACAATAAGAAAATATAATTAATCCAACCAAATTACATGAGATTTAATTTCCTACATAAATGAATAAATAAATACTAATTAATTTAGGACATTTGAACTTGTTCTCTTATAGAGCCGTAATCCTGTTGCTTGGGGCCTGAAAATTCTGAGCTCCCTTAAATAAATCTTTAATCTCTATTTTCTTGATATGGCATTTGCTACTGTTGTCCAGCTTGCACATGGTAAGGCGGGAGAGAAAAGCTTGTAAATCTGTTTGGCTAATCCCTACGTGTTTCCCGAATGTTTTCAAAACCTTTTTTAATTTCTTTCCTGCTTTTACATCAAATGTCATGTAGGGTTATATGTTATTGCAGATAATTTGTGTAAGTGTTATTCCTTACTGGTACAAGTTCAAAGAGGGCGCATCCGCATTTGATGCGTTAATTCGATTAGGCGACGGCAAAGAAAAGAAGGTGACATATCCTTAAACACAAGGCAAGAGCATTGCCACAAACACCTTGGGCTTAAATCACGACGCAATCCTCAAGGTTTGGTTTGCAACATATTGCAATAGAAGAAACATGTGGCTCGTGTGCTACGATCACCATCTGAGACCTTTGTTAAACCGGAAAAATAATGCTACTAAAGTAGTGCCGCTAGAACAGAGTAGTGATGATCTCAATCCATGGTGATGCAATTTTATACCGTAAGTGTTCCATATTCGTGACCTTATTTATTCTATTGAGTTTTGAAAATGGTGTTGCATGTTAAGTCAAAATGTGATTTATCTTTTTGTTTTCTCTTTGTTGTACATGTGATGTGAATATAGGATGGTTTTAGAGGCTGCCCACTACATGCACAGTTATGGAAGTTATCATGGAGATTTGAGTTGCATTGGTAGTTTCGTGATGGTGGGGAAAAAGGTCAAGCAAGTTAACATCGAGAAGGGGTTTCACGGCATACATGGTCCACGAGCGTTGTTGCACAAGCTTTGAGACGTTAAGGTATTTCGAGATTTGTAAAAGGATATGTTGAAAGAAGAGGTCTCGATGGTCGCACTCAATTTCGGGCTTCAACTCATACCTTAACAAATCTCGAAACACCTTTAGGTTTGAAAGCTTGTGCGACAACGCATGCAATGGGCTAACAATAATATGGTTCAAATTCACCTTTGACGAGAATCAAACATAAGATCTCTCACTTACAAGTGAAGAATAGTACTAGACAATAGTATTAAGTGGTTGAAATACCTAACATTTTAGATCGAGTCTAGTCTTGTCATTTACTTTCATGGCAAGTAAACATCCCTTAAATTTCATTTTCCTACATCAAAGAGTTTGAATTTAATAAATAAAGCCTATATATATATATAATATAATATAATTAGGGACTAGCTAGGTGTGTGTTTTGGAACAAAATATTGTGAGCTTATCTGTTTGAAGACTCTATGAATGCCACTAGACAAAAAAACTTGACAAATACCATAGAGCCTAAATATCAAATAGACCAAAAGGGAGATTCATTGCTTAACAAAAAGGAAGCCTGAATATATAAAAGAAAACTAGACAAATACCATTTGCCTCCTTTGTCATGCATGCCTGTTATGCACACATAAACCCAAAGTTCCCTCTTTGTGGTAATATGACACCAATGCTATGTTTCGGTAAGGGATTTTCAAATTCCAAGGAAATGAAGCCAAGTTAGTGGGGAATGGACAATACACTATTACATAAAAGGATTAGAAATGCTATTGACGAGCATTGCAAAGGCATGTCTGAATAACTTGAAAATAAATCCTTCCACTTAGGGATTTTATAATCCCTCTCACATGTCTTTGTAGTATTCTTTACGAGCATTTATCAACCCATGTATCTCAATAGTTATAGCCCATTCCTTAATAGCTAAACCTTATGCCTTTGAGACTCATGATTGAGTGAGAGATTAGAATGGCATCGTATGCCTTTAAATTAGACTTACAAACGAGTTTTGTTTGTTGTGTTTGTGTATATTTCATATCATATTCGTTGTCTTAATAGATGGTCTCATGTCAAATCCGCTATCTTGAACATGTTTTTAATGAGTGACTTGCTAACAACCCAATCTGTTAAAGAATTGAACCAAAACATGTTATTTTTGTGTTGTATCAAGTTGATAGATCTTGCAATAAAATATTCAAAAAATCCATAACATGATTTGAGCGTATAAAAAGTTGAAATAATCATCCTCCTCTCACGTAAGGGTGGGTTAAAAAAAAATGAATTGAACACCAAACCGAAATAAAAAATACTAAACTGAACTGAAATTGGTTGATTCGGTTTTGGTTTCAATGATTTGAAAACCAACCGAACAAATATATTTAATTATTTTTATAAATTTGATTATCCTATCTCTCCTCACTTTGTCTCTCTGCCTTTCAAGAGCTCTGTTTTTTTTTTTTTTTTTTTTCATTTATCTGTCATACTGTTTTCTATATAGTAAAATATTCTCATATTTTTTTTGGTGCAACATTAAAAATCCTCATTTTTCTAACATTAATACCCTCATCAGTGGCCTTCTCTCTAACAAAATCCTCACGCTGTTAAAAAAAAAAAGCTGAAAAATCTCTCACGTTGCACTTCATTTTTTGGTCCAACATTACAATCCTCAGAAACCTCACACTCCATATTCCTTTTGTCTCTAAATAACAATATCAAGTTAAAAGAACTAAAAAAAAAATCGAACCGAACCAAAAAAGGCACCAAAACAGAACCGAAAGTAAACCAAACCGAAAATAAACAAAAAAAAAACCAAACAAAACTGGACCGAATAGTAAGTTCTGGTTGTTTTTTATTTTGGCAAAAAAAGGAACCGAATGGCACCAGACCCACCCTTATTCTCACGGCCTTCCTTCATGCTCCTCTCGCGGCCTTCATAGTGGGGCCATGTTTGAAATAATAGTAGTGAATTGCTACTAGAATTCGTACCCCTTCCTTGTCTGTGTCACAGCCACCCGTATACACATATTCCCCGTCTCACATAGCCAAAAACTAACCCTGGCTCCAAGGGTGGGCATCGGCTAGGTCGCCTCCAGTTGGACCCCAAAAGGCTAGCCAAGCCGACCTTATATGCTCGGTTTGTCATTGTTGAAGTCCCATTACCACCAATCCAATTGGTCAAGTTCTATGAGTTCAGCCTAGTTACTTTTTACTTTCTTATTTATAACTTGAGTGTGAGTGATCATGATCCAAGGCCCACGGCATTTTGGTCCAGTTCCATGAGTTCGGCCTACCAAAACTACCATTGTTCCTCTGTAACCATTTCAATAACCATTTCAATTTCAAATCAAGTGAAGGTTGAAACACAACATTTCTCTTTTAAAGCCGACTTGTATTGAAATCTGCGTGGATCGATAAAGGGCATGACCAAATGGACTTGCATATTGTTTGGGACTGAGAACAAAATAAAAGACGTGCATGTGCATTGCAAAATAAAAGACTTGGGCCTTTCTGTTTTGTTTCAACCCCAAGTTGATTGCTTGTTAACAACCCATATAATGTATCATGTGACTGGCTAGGATTAGCGGGAAGCACAAATACAAGGCATTTGTTGAAAGCAATTGGTGGGTGTGAGAAAGATAAGGCCGCAGAGAAATAGGTGCAGCCGACTTCTACTTGAAAAAAAAGAGAAGTTGATGCACTTATTCTTTTCGAGAGATTACTCACCCAAAGACATTGGTGTTGCATTTTGTGGCTTTTGGGAGAGGAAAATTTTGGCATGTGCTTTCGAAAGAGTAAATTTTTTTGTATCTTTTGAAGTGCTTGAAGAGGGTGCATCTTATTTAAAATATGAATCTGAAATTTAAAATTTGTTTCAACGTTACAATTCTAGAAATTCTAATATTACAAATTTCAGCAAGGAAATTCTTACACTAGCACTTCGTCGAGGAAAATTCCAACACTAGAACTTCAACAAAGCAAAAAACAAACATTGGAAGTTTCAGCCATAGTGTTGTTTAGGTTGCTCATGGTCTTAGTTATTTGTATTCAAGTACGGGATTGATGTGTGAAACTGGTGTAGGTTCTAGTTGAAAATTGGGTTGGACACTATTGCCTAGTCAGTATCCCAACTTACTCTACACCCACTGTTATATGATAGTAATCAAGTTTTGTTTTGAGCAGATAAAACTATGCTTCTAAGTGTAATAAAGTGGGTAAAGGACTTGATGATGATTATTGACATGCCATATTCCTTCATCATAGGAGCATTTCCATGTCGATTGAAGAAAATGAGAATTATCAAGAACTTTGTAGGCGTAATTATCTTAATCGACAAGTTATCGAACTTTATGAATCCAACAGAGTTTGTTATGTAAAGTGTATAACATGCAGAAACAAGAAGTTTTACCAGAGGTTGTAGTATGAGAAAAAACTAATGAGAAAGATGAAAACTATTTGTACATAAGGTAAATACATTTCCGATGCAATCTACCAATACTAGCCCGCTGCATGGCATGAATGTATGACTCATTGAGACATATAATTGTACAACAAAGGATCTCAAGTTTTCAATAAGAAAAATTGGAATACTCGACGACAATGATTCAACTTGAGCACTAGGGATGATGCTCTCCAAAGATATGGAATTTGTTTCATCTCTCCATAATTTTGAAAGTTCTTGAATGTGGATGTATCAACCATTACTTAACTGATCTCGAATGGTTATTATGATGTTCATGCTAGGTCCATGCTTGCCATTATATTTGTATGTCAATTTTCAATGTTATTGCCATGCATGTAGTTTTAAAGAATGAAAGTTTTGAACTTCTTGTTATATGACCCCAACACTCGAGTGTTTCCCATCAAACGCTATCCAATCCTTTGTTCTAAAGGTTGATGTATTATATTGATTTTTGAATTATAGGAATTTAATTTAAAGTAATAAAGTGCAAACGTTGTTTACTTGATTGCCATGAGTTATGAAAGAGTAAAATTTTTTGCATCCTTTGAAGTGTTTGAAAAGGATGCATCTTATTGAGAATTTGAAACAAAATTTTAGAATTTATTCAAACGTTAGAATTTAAAATTCTAACATTAGAAATTTTGGCAAGGAAATTCCAATGCTAGCCCACAATGTAGCTTGTGACTAGCTAGGGTTAGTGGGAAGCACAGATATGAGGAATTTGTTGAAAGCAATTGGAGAGTGCGAGAAAGATAAGGCAGCATCACTTGCCGTCTGAGAAATTGGTGCAGCCGATTTCTAATTGAAAAAAATAAAAAAAGAGAAGTCGTTGCACTTGTTCTTTTCGAGCAATTACTCACCCAAAGATATTGGTGTTGCATCTTGTGGCTTTTGGGAGAGAAAAAATTGGCATATATTTTTTAAAGAGTCGAAAATTTTGCATCCTTTTAAGGTGTTTGAAGAGAATGAATCTTATTTAAAATTCGAAACAAAACTTTAAAATTTGTTTGAACGTTAGAAATTTAAAAATTCTAACATTAGAAATTTCGGCAAGGAAATTCTTACGCTAGCACTTCGGCCAAGAAAATTTCAACACTAGAACATCATCAAGGCAAAAATAAACATTGAAATTTTCAGCCATAGTGTTGTTTGGGTTGTCCATGGTCTTACTTCTTTGCGTTGAAGTCGGGATTTATTTGTGAAACTGGAGTAGGTCTCAGTTGAAAATTGGGTTGGACAGCATTGCCTAGTCAGCATCACACTTTCTTCTACACCACTGTTATATGGTAGTAATCAAGTTTTGTTTGGAACAGATATAGCTATGCTTGTAAGGATAATAAAGTGGGTAAGGGACTTGATGATGATTGACATACCATATCCCTTCTTCATAAGAACAATTCCATGTTGATTCAAGGGAATGAGAATCATCAAGACCTTTGTAGGCATAATTATCTTAATTGACAGGTTATCGAACTTTATGAATCCAACGGAGTTTGTTATGAAAAGTGCATAACATGCGGAAACAAGAAGTTCTATCATAGAGGTTACAGCATGAGAAATTACTAATGAGAAAGATGAACACTGTTTGTACATGTACATTTCCGATGCAATCTATCAATAATAGCCCACCGCATGACATGAATGTATGACTCATTGAGACATTGAAATACTCGACAAAGGATCTTAACTTTTTAGTAAGAAAAATTGGAATACTCGACGATAATGAGTAAATTTGAGCATTAAGGATGATGCTCTCCAAAGATATGGAATTTGTTTCATCTCGCAATAATCTTGAAAGTTATTCCATGGGAATATATCAACCATTACTTAACTAATCTCGAAGGGTGATTACGATTTTCATGCCAAATTCAGGTTTTCCATTATATTTGTGAGTCAATTTTCAATGTTATTGCCACGCATGTAGTTTTTAAGAATGAAAGTTTTGAATTTCTTTATATACGACCCCAACACTCAAGTGTTTCCTATCAAACGATATCCAATCCGTTGTTCTAAACGTTGATGTATATTGATTTTTGAGGCATAGGAATTTAGTTTAAATTAATAAAGTGCAAATGTTATGCACTTCACTTGCCATGAGTTTTGAAAGAGTAAATTTTTTTTGCATCCTCGGAAGTGTTTGACGAGGATGGATCTTATTGAGAATTTGAAACAAAATTTTAAAATTTATTTAAACGTTAGAAGTTTAGAAATTCTAACATTAGAAATTTTGGCATAGAAATTCCAAGGCTAGTGTAACGATCCAATCAGAAGCAAAATCTAGTGGTTGGCCAAAACACTAACATGGTTGACATTTACACTATTAACCATAATAAATGTCCTTACTTGACAATTTTCAAAATTTATTTTTGTTACTTTATTGTTGCATCTAACTTCTTTATTAGACTGCTTACGTACTCTCAAACGAGATCAAGCTATTCCTAGTTCATTGTCATATTGAAATCATTTACTAAAAATATTCCAACTGGCGGATATGTTCAATACTAGATTCAAACCATCGAATCATATCAAATGGATATCAAATATGAAATTAGAATATCAAATTTAACTTAAAAGGCAATGTCGGCCCATTGGCCACGCACCTCCGCAGGCAGTGGTTTTCGTTGAATGGAAACCCAATTTTCCAACTAACTCCAAAAATTACCAAATTTTACAGACATGTAAGCTCAATGAGGGGAACATTTTTCATACTTGAGCCGAAATCCAATTCGACCAGGAAGACGTCTGAAATCACCTTGATCTGCCGAAAACCCTAAAATGGGTGTTCTTCGATTCGACTTCCCCACTGCACCACACCCTCCACCCCCCCCCCCCCCCACCCAAAAAAAAAAAAAATTGTTTAGGGTTTGTTCCTAGGCTCAAGAGGAGTCTTTTGGTGGTGGTGGTGGAAGGAAAACACTTCAAAAATGGTGGATTGCTGGCGAGGAACTATCGCACCCATTGGTGCCGTTCTTCGTGAAATCGAGTCCAAAATGGCTTTTGCTGGAAATGGGAGAATGAAGGTCAAGTTGGAGTGTGCAGATGGTGGTTGGGTGGAATTCATTGAAAAATCCGATGAAAATCGCCAGAATTTGTTATCCAAAACTGGATCAGGTCACGTAGGTAAACAATTCAAAAGGGGGAAAATTGGTTCACTCGTTCTCTCTTTCCTCATTTCCCTCATTTCCCTCCTTTCTCTTCTCCTATCTCCATCACAGCCACACATGTGGCGCCTCAGATGGCTACTCCAACAAAGCTCGAGCTTCTAGATTAAGGATCAAATGAACATTTTGCCCTTACTTTTGCTTCTTTATATCTCCTTTATTATAACTTCGTTTGACGAACGGTCTTCGTCTACGCGCTCGTGGGATCGAGCTTTATCCAAATATGCCAAGAAATGCAACGAAGCTTATAAGGATAAAATACGTTCTTGTATAATTATGTTTAGCCAACTATGGGCATTTTCGTCTTTTTTCACTTATCGAATAAATGTACATCAAAACAAGTTGTTTTGATGTATAACTACATCTATACGTGCCAAAATGGAAGACACAAGTGGTTTTGATAAAAAAAAA